TCGTGACCATCATCGTCGTCAGCATCGTCGATGCCGTCATCAGCATCAGAATCAGAATCGGAATCATCACCATCAGCTTCATCATCGACACCAAAGATCGTCAGCATCACGAGCACTATTGCCATCATCAACGTCATCACAACCATCATCATCACCATCCTCATCAGAACCACCACCATCTCCATCATCGTCACCATCCTGAACAAGCAGATCCAGCATCGTCACCATCACCGCCAACCAGATCCATCACCGTCACCATCAACAACAGCCATAACATTACCAGCAGCAGAAACGTCGTCCGCAGGATCAGCACTCGTTATCATCATCACAATCATCATCATCATCATCATCATCATCATCATCATCAGCAGCAGCAGCAGCAGCAGCATCAGCACCAGCGCCAGCGCCAGCGCCAGCATCAGCATCGTCGTGATCGGCAGCAGCAGCATCATCATCATCATCATCATCATCATCATCATCATCACCATCGCAACCGCCATCACCGTCACCATCGCCAGCAACCCCACCACCACCACCACCACCATCATCATCATCGTCATCATCGTCATCATCATCATCATGATCATCATCATCATCATGATCATCATCATCAGCAGCATCATCATCATCATCATTAATGTCACCATCATCACCATCAACCATAGCAGCAGCATCATCATCATCAGCATCAGCAGCATCATCGTCATAATCAGTATCCTCGTTAGCATCATCGTCATCATCACCATCATCATTATCACCATCAGCATCAACATCATCATCATCAGCAGCATCATCAGCATCATAAGCATCATCATCATCATCATCAGCAGCATCGCCATCATCAGCAGCATCACCACCATTATCAGCATCATTATTATCATCATCAACACCGCATTTTTCATCATCAGCATCAGTTGTCACAATCATCACCAGCATCGTCAGAAGCAGCAGCAGCATGACCATCATCCTCATCATCAGCATCATCATTAACAGCATCAGCATCATCATAAGCAGCATCATCTGAATCATCATCATAATCATCATCAGCAGCATCATCCGAATCGCCATCATCATCAACAGCATCATCAGCATCATTATCATCAGCATCATCATTCATATCATCACAGTGACCATCACCATCAGAAGCATCATCATCATCACCATCAGCAGCATCATCAGCATCTGCATCGCCATCGTCAACGACATCGTCATCGACAGCGTCACCGTCATCATTACAGTATGATCAAACGCATCATCATCGTCATCATCAGCAAAATCATCAATATCACCACATTTTTCACGCTCCTCCATGTCATCCGACACCGCCTGATCATACTCCCCTTCCTCATCCAGCTACGCCATCGATCTCCACCTCCTCCACCTCCTCCTCACCCGTCTCGCACTCCTCCTCCTCCTCCTCCTCCTCCTCCTCCTCCTCCTCCTCCTCCTCCTCCTCCTCCTCCTCCTCCTCCCCGTCGTCGTCGTCATCGTCGTGGTCGACCTTCACCACCTCCTCACTAGCCTTCCCCCCTCACCTCACAGACAGCCGCAAAATGCCGCGTCCTGGATGGACACCGCGGCCTGATTCTGCAGCTTCTCCTATGTAGCGACACAAGGAGAAAGCGGAAGGGAGTGTGCAGCCACGCGCAAGCCCTGTCCCTGCTGCCAATCGATTGGGACCAGCAGGGACCATCATTTGGGGTGCATGATCACCAAGCTAGTGCCGGATTGCAGATTCTGAGCCCCCAATGGGGGTAGGGTTCAAATACGGCTGCCTAGTTCCACTGCGTTCCTTGAAATCTGCCCGACGACCCCCCGCCTGGTGCCATGTTGTTCGTGTCGGTGCACGGTCGGAGGAGGGAGAGGCGTAAGGCAGATGCTCTTTGTTCGCCAGTCCCAGGTTGTCGCAGTGGTGTGCCTCCCTGGGCCCTCCTGGAGGGCAGAATGCACAAGACAAGACGAACCCTCCAAGGAGAGCGGCCCCAGAGGGGCCCAAAAGACACCAAGGTGACCTGAGAGGCCACCGAGACTGTCCAGGATACCTGCAAGAGGTCCCAAGGCGCTCCTCAAGTGGCGCCGGAACCCCATGCACAGAACCAGGAACACCCAATATGGCCTCGGTGGGCCCCCGAGCCTCCGCAAGTTGGTCCAAGAAGCCCCGGACGCCCCCCCCCCCGGTGTACTCCCAACGTTTCCGAAACAGCTGGTGGAACCCACAAGCGAATAGCTTGGCCAAACACTGGCCCAACAGTTGGGCACGCACCTGGGCCTTGCCAAGTCCAAGAAGACAGCGGGCGGCGTTGACTCGCCAGAGGCGTCCTCCATACGCCGCCCCCATGTATATTCACGAGGAGTGCTGGGCGAACGGAGGTTCAGGCCACGTGTCGGCTTGGCTTGCCAGATCTCGGCATGAAGGAAGCTGGTCCCATGGGAAACGGGCCATGGAACCCAGAGCCTTCCCCCAGGGCCAGCGTTTCGTCCTGAGCCGTTTCCTGATAGTCCTGGGGCCCAGAGAGGCTCCTGGAAGCCCGAAAACAGCCAGAATACCATTGGACCCGTGTTTGGCGGCGCGCACAAGGGGGAGGGGGGGGGGGGGGGTTCTTAGAAGCAGGCTGCTTCTTAGAAGGCGCCGGCCTTACATCTATAGATAAGGCCCGCGCCTTCTGAGAAGCAGGGGTGCTTCTAAGAAGCCCACCCCCCTCCCCCCACCCCCCTCTGCGCGTGGCCGACGTGTCCCTGAGGACCTGTTTCCTTCATGGCGGAAATCTCTCCACAAGCCTGTAGCGCTCTCCCCCGCCAGGTGCATGCCCGCTCGCTCTTCGAGCCAAATGCGCCAGCAAAAACATCCGACGTGTCTTTCAAGATGGCCCAAGCTGCCGCCAGGACGGCCCATCAGGCAACCAACGAGGCCAAAGACGGCCCAAGATGGCCCGGAGGGTCCAGGAAGACGCGAAGTTGGCCCAAGAGCGGCTCAAGGTTGCAACACAACGGCTCCACGATGCCTCCAAGACGGCCCCAGACGACCAAATGGAGCCACAAGCCTCCCGATGGCCGAACGCCCCAGACAGCTCAGGCAGGTCGCAAAACAGACCCAAGATGGCCCAAGACGGCATCTGGAGGGACCCAAAAGGGACCACAAGCGGCCCCAAGAGGCCCCCAAGACGACCAAGAGGCGTCCCAGACGACCAAGAGGCGCAGAAGACGGCCCAAGAAAACCCTAAGACCGGTTAAGTGTGTTTCTACACAGCCCAGGAGGAGCCCAAACAAGTTGCCAAGGCGGCCCAAGAGGGCCCCGAGAGAGCCCCAAGAAGATAGCCCAAGAAGGAGGTCGCCAAGAGGGTCAGAGAGGCCCCAGGCCCAGCCCACGAGGTCCCAAGAGGCGCCAAGTTACAATATGGACGTTTCGGCAGCATGGGGCGACGATGACTCGCTGGAAGCGTCTACGACCACTGTAACGCCTTGAACCCTGAGCAGCCTCATGGATCCCTCTTCGGGCTGGCGGGCAAGGGGTGGCGGGCTGGTTCCCCCTTGGGGCTGGCGGGCAAGGGGTCACCCCACAATCCGCGTCGATGCCGCACGTCCGGTCCCGTGTGCCGGTGATGGCGTGCAAGCTCGGGATCCGGCTCCTGGAGGCCCTGCCCTGGGAGAGCGGCCCTTCTCTGGCCCCGAGAGGGCCCGAAGGCTCGGCGGCCGGCGCCTGCCGGCACGGACGGCGCTCTGCCCTCGAAGCGGCGGACCGCGACTACTCCCCACGCCCCCCCTCCGACTGAGCCAGCTCAGGCGAACGAGGCCAGGGACAGCTGCCACGACGGCGGCCCCAACCCCGACGACCGCCGCCCTTCCCCCCCCCCCGCTGGTTGGTGGTGTGGTGTGGTGTTGTTGCACGAGCCGTACACGGGAGCTCATCCTGCTCCCCCGACGCCCGGCCGCCGCTCCCGGCGGAGGGTGGAATCTCTGCCGGAGAGGCCCCGGCGGCCTCGTCCTGCCTCTTCCCCTCCCTCTCCTCGCCGGACTCGGAACCGAGTTGGTCAGAATGAGTTGGAGTTGTTCTTGCAACTGCTGGTGTGGGTCCTCCCGTTGTCTCTGACTCCAACAGCCAGGAGTAGCCTTCAGGCGACTCCTGGCCAGTTTGTTCCCCACCTTCCACTACTTTTCTCAGCCTCCGCCGACTGAGGGTGTCCAGGCCAGTGGCAGCCTGTCACCTACAACGAGTACAACAACTGGCGGGCAAGAGGGGGATCTCGGGGGCGAAAGCCTGCCAGATCGATGCCCTGGGCTTGCGCGCACCAACATCGTTTTTCGACCAATGCCACGCCATATCAGCGCTGGATTACACGATTGCTCATGAACGCGAGGCAGAAGGGTTCTCGAGCCCATGTGGACAGCTCTAGCGGTAGCCTGATACCGATGCGGCTAAAAAAATGCTGCCCGACTGGTACGAATAACAAACGGTGCATCTCGTGCGTGCGCCACAAAGCTGCCAGAATTCATAGTCCATTCGTCGCAGCAGAGGCGAGCAAGCGCGCGAGGCACCAGCATTCGGCCGCTGAACGACTCGCGCGACGGGGCCTGGGCTACAAAACTGCGAGGCCCGCCTCGAGGCTCGGGCGGCGGGCGCGATGGCCTGAGCCGGGAAGCGAGGCAGGACGGGGGGAGGCGGGAAGAGGCGGCGAGGAATGGCGCACAGTGAAAAATCCAGGTGGTGCGCGCTAGGCATGCTCGAGCAGCGGGACACCTCATCGCAGCCACCACCATCAGGAAAACACGTCAACAACGAAGTTTGCGCGAGAGCGGACTGACTGGGACTAGGACATGTGACTACGCAGCTTTGTCACAAGTGGGAGGTGGTCTGCCTTTAGTTTTGCAGACGCCATGAGCACATCGTATGTAGTGATGACGCATAGAAGTAAGCCCGTTGCCCCAGCGGACATCATACTACATATATATATATATATATATATATAGTTAAATGTATATGTATATATATATATATATATTAACGCTGACGATTGCTTACTCAGGCGTTGTCTGTATTGGACGGGAAAATGGACGCGGTAGATCGCTGATGCGGGAGCTTCCAATCAGGGCCATAGAGCTCCGCAAAGCGACCCAAAGTCGGCTCCAACCTAGACACGATCACGAAATGTCCTTCCACACCGCTGGCAAACATATTGCCAGAATACAACCTCGGTGCATCACGAGGGGAATAAGGAAGATGACAGAAGTCAAGGACGGATGATTCAGCTGCAGAACTGGCAACGCTCACCCGCGTCGGAGCCACGGCCACGGGCCTGAGCGAAGCGCGGAGCCACGCATGTGAACGTGCAACATCGAAACATGTAAATTAGTAACGGGCTTCACGCACGAGCACCCGTGCGCAACGAGTGACCTCTCCTGCGCGGCTCTACGGGGGGCGCGAGAACCAAACCCAATCGCGCGAGCCGCTGCTGGGGCCTGGCGTGCGGCGACGGGGGGAGCCGGGGGGGCCCGCAGCAGAGGCCACTGCGGCGGCAAAGGGCCACTCTGACGCGCAGCCAAGGTAGGAAGAGGCACGACGAGCAGGGAACACAGTCTGGGCGAGGGGACGCAAACAGACACAGCCGAATAACTCGGTGGGCTTCACGCCCGCAAGCCAGCGGCACCTTGGGCGTGCAGACTGCACGCAATCGCAGCGTCCCTAAGCGGGTGTCCACATCCAGATGCCGCTCTGGCATGTTGTCTCAAAGCGGCACTGAGAAGAGGAGGTGCAATCGCCCCTTCAACTCCCTTGAACCAGCATGGGCTCGCGTTGCCCCTCCAGGCGCGTCCGCACATTGGCGAACGCAGAGCCCGTACTGCTGTTCTCCGCGACTGCGCGAGCGCGCGCACCTGCCCCTGCCCCCGAGGAAGCAGGCCGCGTGTGAAGCCTACGGCCCCTCTGCTGCTGCTGGGGGTGCCACAACGGTGTGGTGACACACCGTGCGGCGATTTTCGGAACCCCCAAAGGTGGACCTGACCGCACGGTCAGTCACCGCACGGTTTGGGGACCCTGGAGGCCCAGGTCGCACGAGACGTCCTCGGAGAACGACCCGAGTCCCCAAACCGCGCAGTGACACCAAATCCCCCCCGACTCACCGCACAGTGAGGTCCTCGTCGTCTGGCTTTCAGGTCGTGACTCTGCTCTCTGGTGGCCGTTCGAAACCATTCTGGCACCCCAGAAACGCCCTCGGCGAGGCGCCCGGGCTTCGGAAACCTAACGTCCGAAATCCCCCCTGACCCCAGCCCCACTGACTCACCACGCGGTGAGAACCCCATACTGTTTGAGGGCCCGCGACTGCTCGGGTGTTGCTAGAAGTGCTCCTGGCCCGAGCTGCTCCCAAGAATTCCAAGGAAACCCCCACGGCCTCCAGAGAACCCCTCACGAGGCCCAGACGGCCCCCGAGGCTCCAAACTGGAGCGAAGATCTGAGGGGCACCCGGGGCCAGGAGCAGCTTTTAGCAACCCGAACTGTTGCGAACCCCCGAAGGGCGCTGGAGGGGCGATCGAGAGGCCCCAGGGCTCCTGCAGCCGCCTCCGGGGGAGAGCGCGGGTCCCATGGCGGAGACGGGTCCCCAGGGATCCCCAGGGGTTTTCCGATGGCCGGATCTTCGTCCGGAATCGGAGTTTCGGCAGGGAGAACGGGGAAACAAAGCACGACGAGCAAAAACAACTACTATGTATAGGGAGAGATATATAATCATAAGATACACCAAATCATTCCAGTATGACAGAAACAACCATGAACGATGTCGGTGCGACCACTAGGAGCGGAAGGCTTCCTGGGTAAGTAGCAAAGGAGAGCATTGCGTTGCATTGTTGTGCTTTGTCTGGCGTTGCTTGACATTGCATGGCATTGATGGGCGCCTCTTTGCGTTGCTTAGCATTGCTTGGCGTTGCTGCACGTTGCCTGGCATTGTTTCTTGTTGCATTGCCTTGCTTCGCATTGCTCCGCACTGCCTCAAATTGTTTCGCATTGCTTGGCGTTGCTTGACATCGACTGTCATGGGTTGGCATGGGCTGGCATGGGCTGTCATTGTTTGGCATTGCATGGCATTGCATTGCTTGGCGTTGCTTGGCGTTGCTTGGCAGTGGTTGGCATTGCTAGGCAGCAAGGAACCAAGGCCAAGGAACCTGAGGAAGAAAAAGCAAGAAAAAAGACCACGCGATCCGCGGAAGGCTGGCAGGCACTCCTGGAAGGCAACGAAGAAAGAGACCAAGCGTCCTGGGAACGCCATTCAGCGCAGGCCTAGCACCCACAGGTTTTCAGTAACAAGTAAGCACCCCACATCAAGCCTACTTGAAGCATAAACCAACAACAAAACAACGCCCGAACCCGTTTCCTCCGAGGCCCCTTTCCTTCACGGCGATCCTGGCACCAGCCCCGAGGGCGCGAAGCTGGAGCGGCCTTGGTGCACAAAAGCTGGTCCTCGAGACCCCACCCAGGCGCCGGGGCGCAACCAGCGGCACCCGCGCCATTGACTCGTGCTGCTCGCCAGCTGGAGGCTGCCACCAACTTCCCCTTACCCTCCGTCCAGGCAATGCCCAAGGGGTGTCACCATGCGGGGGGGGGGTCGCCACCACCTCGATGCGAAAAAAAAAAAAAACATCCAACCGAAGAAACCAACACACAACAACAGCAAACACTTTCGAGCGTGAGCGGGCAGGCGACTCGCCATGCCGTGAAACCACGCACGCCAGGCGCGCGCGGGCAGGCAGTCGGCCTCTCACGGGGCGGAGGCAGGGCAGTCGCCGGGCCGGCGGCGGGCCAGACGGCGGGCAAGGCAGCGAAGCCAGTCTGGCAGGGGCCGGGGCGGCGGTCGAGGTACGCACACTGGTGGCAGAGTGCCCACCAGAATGAGGCGGGCGAGTAACGGCCGAGGCAGACACCAGGGCAACGGGGGGGGAGACGGCGCCTCAGGAGGTTAAGAGCAGATTCGCCTCCCGCGCGTCCCGCTCGCGATTTCTCCAAGGCGTGCCGCCTGTTTTTGACGCTTGAGAGACTGCTGCCTGATAGCTGAGGGCGTCGGGTTCCCACTGAGACCCGCGGCCCTGCCAGCACTGCCCGTCACGGCACCTACAGACTCAGGGATGGTGGCCCCTCCGGGCTGGAACAGGAGGCCTCCACAGCGCCCACGGACCGCGCGGCCACTCCTGGACTGTAGCTGACGGCGTGGCGTCCCAGGCTCGCCCAGGCCTCAGGCGTCGGGGAGGTGAGTCATGGAGCCGAACTGGGCCAGGGTGGACGGCGACAGCGACGCCGGGGGAGAAACCCCAGGCGGCGGCGCAGAGGGGGCGCGGACACAGGGAGAGCATGGCATCGGGGGCGTCGTCGGAGGCGTGCTGGGGGCAGCGCCTGAAAGCGGGGTCGGGGTGGACGTTGAGAGCGTCGTCGCGCCAGGGTGGACGCAAGGAGCGCCGTCGGAGGATGGGCCCGATGCGGCGTCGTCGCGGGAGCGCGGGCACAGAAAGAGAGAGAGAGAGAGAGAGAGAGAGAGCAGCGTCGGGGGCGTCGTGGGAGGCGGCGCCGGCGGCGGCGTTGGCGTGAGAGCCTGCTTCATGGCGCGGGGTGGCGGCGTGGCCTTCCCCGACTGTCAAATACAATGGGTTTCGCTGCCGAGAGTAAACCATCCTCGGCAGCGAACGTCGTGTGTTTTCCAATCTGGATGCGCCTCGCAATCGGCGTGCAGGAGTAGCGCTGCTGCGGCGCTACTCTGACGACCGGCAGAGATGTGGACCGCGCGGAGGGCGCGATGGCCCGCCGGGGGGGGGCGGCCAGGGGGCCAGGCGAGAGACCCTGGCCTGCGGGCCCACGCTGGCGAGCCAGAGAGGAGCAAAGGGGTTCCCAGCTCTCCAGCCATCGCACGGTCCGACGTCAGCGGAGTCGGCAGGCACAGCGCGAGCGTCGGGGTCAGCTTCGGAAACGGGGTGGGAGGGCGAGCTCAGGGACGGAGTCTCGGACATGGCGCCCCAGCCCGGGGTGGCGCCCGTGGCGAGAGCGTCGTCGGGGCCAGCGTCGGGGGCGGCGTCGCGGGTAGCGTCGGGGCGAGGGCACCGACCCGGGGAGGGAACGGCATCAGGGCGGTCGTCGAGGGCGGCGTCGGGGTCAGCGACGGGGTGGGCGCGCTGGCTTGGCAAGGGAGCGGCTTCGGGAGCGGCAGCGGCGCCGAAGCGCAGGATGTGTGGGAAACCATTGGAAGAGCGCCATTGTCCGACGAGGGCGCGGGGACGCGGGCGCGGGCCACGACGTCGAGCGTCGGCCCGGGGGCGGCGTCGGGAGCCTGTGGGATGAGAGGCCGCGGGAGAGCCTCAAAAAGGAATTGTCGACCCCCCGCTGTTCTCACTGACGCATTAATTCCTGGGGGCGCCACCGAAACATCCCCCTGCGCGCAGCACCCAAAGCAATCGATTCATCAATGAATTCGCAAAGGGGGGGAGCAGCGAATTCGTAGAAATCGTCGGGGATCTGTCAAGGACCCTGCTGAATAATTCAGGAGTCATGTTAAAAATCGACCCAGAAACTTTAGGAATCCTCAGGAATCTGAATGGGGCCCACAAGAAGCCTTGAGGAAATCAGGAGGAAACCGCAGGCACCCTCACGAACCATCCAGTTATCGGCAACAAACTTGCAAGAATCCTCCGGAATTCTTCGGGAACCCCACAGGGATCCTCAGGAATATGTAGGAATATTGCGAACCTCCTCTGGGACCCCAAAAAGTCCTCCAGGAATCATCCAGGAACCCAAATCGAAGCGCAAAACAAACATTCATTTGGAAAGCGGCGAATTCTCAATGAGATTCTGAAGTTTTTTCAGGAACCCGCGAGAATCCTCACGAATCCTTCGGGAATCCTTAAGAGATCTTCAAGAATCCTTCAGAAACCGGCAGCAGTCTTCAAGAACCCCGTCATAAATCTTTAGGTCCATCGAAAATATGCAGAAATCCAAGCAGGAACCCTCAGGAATCCTCAGTGACCCTCGCGAACCCTCCAACAACCCGCAAAAATCCTTCAACAAACGTCCGAATACATCTGGATTCCGTCAGGAATCCCCCAGAATCCGAGGCACCCTGAGGAATCTTCCGAAAATCCCACGAACCCGCAGTACGTATCAAGAAACTTCCAGGAATCCTTGAAAACACTGGGGAAGACGTCGGGAACCCACAAGAATCCGCAGGCATCATCCGGAGATCGTTCTGAAATCCCCAACGTAGCGCGGCCGCGCAGGTCACGTTTCCTCCTCCTCCTCCTCCTCCTCCTCCTCCTCCTCGTCCTCCTCCTCCGCCTCGTCATCCTCCTCCTTTCTCTTTTCTTCGCTGGACAAAATAACAATTTGCCCCTTCGCTTAACGACCTTGCAACCCAGTTAATTGTGGAGGGGGGAAAAGGAAAATGGGCAAGGAGGAGGAGCAATGAGTGGAAAAAAGGAAGAGGGAGAGGAGGTGGAGGGCGCTTTTGCACAGCGCGGGAAAATGTTACATCCAAGCCCTTCCTTTCGACTGCACTCATAGCAACGCGCGCAGAATCGAGAACACGCCGGGTTGTTCCGTTCCCCTTGCGGCCCCCGAGAACTCTTGAGGGATCCTGCAGGGTCCTGGAGGATCTTGAAAGAATCCTGGACGAGTTAACTACGGTGGGGGGCATGTTTAGCTCTTCGAGGGCCGAAGCCCGCGCGCGCATGAATTCGCGACCGCACAAACAGCGCTTGCACAGCCCGCAAGCGGGACCCCCAGTCCCCAAGGCGGCGATTACATCCGCGCCCACCGTTGGCCCCCGGCCTGGGGCCCACCGCCCGCGTTCTCACAGAGGCCGCGCGCGCCGGCCGCCCGCGCGACGTTCAACGGCTCCGACGGGGCCTCGCCCTCGTGCTCGCCGCGCACGGCGGGCTCGGCATCGGAGCTGGTGAGCTGGTCTCGGGCGCACCAGGCCTCGGGGGGGTGGAACCACCCTGCCAGGCGAGCCAGCCGCATCGCTGCCACCCGTCGGCGGATCCACCTCAGGCGCCGAGGCTCCATGGCGCGCACCAGCTCCTGCTTCGCTGATTCAAGCTCCTCGTCGCACTCCTGCGCGCCTCGGCCAGCGCCGTCGAGCACGCCCAGAGCGCCCAGGAGCACGACTGCCTCGCCCTCCTCGAGGCTCATAGGGTCCAAGAGCGAGTCCTCCACTCCACCAGCGCGCCCCATCTGCGCAATGACCTCCACCTCACCTTCCACCGAGAGCGCCTCGATCGCCTCGAAGCCCTGCGAGCTGAGGCGAAGCGCTGAGACCCCGCGCACGAACTCCGCGTGGTAGTCGGCCGCAGGCTTCCGAATGAACCCCAGCTGCCCATTCAAGACGGCCTGGACAATCCGTTCGGCCGCCTGCGGCCCCTGCTCGGCGAACACCGCCTGACCCAGGGGCTCCAGCAGCCCATCCGATGCGCAGGCGATCTCGGCCTCCTTGTGCTCGTGGCCTTCGCCGCAGGGCCAGTGCTCGACGCTGTAGCGGTCAGCGTCGCCCTCCTGCTCCTGCGCTCGGCCACTCAAAAGTGCCCCGTCTAAACGGTCGAGGTACTCAGAAACCTTGGATTCCAAGCCGAACTCCGACGGGTAGGCGAACACGTCCGAGTACGCCGCGGTCATCGTGTCGTCGCTCGTCGCCACGCCAAGCCCGACAAGCGGCTCCTCCGCGTCATCGGTGTCGGCGAAGGGGCCGCGCGTGGAAGCAGGGTTCGACGGCGCGCCGTCGGCGACGCCCCCAGCCTCCGACCCGCCGCGCCGAACCGCGGGCGTCGTCGGCACGGGCGCCAGCAGCTCCGCGGTCACGCCCTCAGACACCGCGAACAACTCCTCGAGCTCCGACCCCGCGGCGGTCTTGACCTCGGCTCCGTCCTGCTGCTCCACCATCCCCTGCACGCGCGCCTGGAGCTCGGCCAGCCTCCAGCCAGCCTCCAAGCCCTGCCCGAACGCAAGGGCGCGGCCCTCCGACACCTGGTCGAGCTCGAGCCAGGTCCCAGGGGCGTGGGGCTGCACCTGCTCGAGGACCAGGGCTGCGGGGGTCGGCGTTCGCTTTCCAGAAGGCGCGCGAAGCGCACGCCGCGCGGGCGCTGGCCCTCCCGGCCCGAGCCGCGGGCCATGCTGCGCAGCTCGCCACTCCGCCCAGCCCGCTCCAGCTCCTGGCAACGTCCGCGCGTGCTGGGCGCAATTCCTCACGAGGCGTGCCTCGTCGGCGGTCTGCTCGCCCAAGATGCCGGCCACCAGCGCTAGGCGGGAGAGGCACTCGCGCATGGCCACCTCCGCCTCGAGGTCGGCCAGGGCGCCTTCCCTCAGCGGGCCGCAGGGCTTGTCGTGGAGAGCTCTCCAAAGGCCGCGCTCTCAGGCGATCTGCCCGCGACGCCGAGCGGCGCGCCGAGCAGCGGACGCCCCTCTCGACTCGGCCTCCGCCTCCCGCATGGGCCGCGCCGCGCGGCCCCCCGAAGCCATTGACACCAGAACCTGGCTTGAGCCAAAATGGCTACGGACGGTGGGGGGCATTGGATAAGGAAACCTTCGATCAGGATTACTAGGTCTGGAAGCCTGTGGATGGCCAATCGTTGATTGGCCATCTATATATATATATATATATATATATATATACATACATGCATACATACATAAAGATAAGCATAAACATGAGCATAAACATAAACATAAACATAAGCATAAACAAAACCATACATATAAACATAAACATAAACAAAACCATAAACATAACCATAAACATAAACCTAAACATAAACATAAACATAATCATACACATAACCATAAGCATAACCATAACCATAAACATAATCATACACATAAAAAACCAACACATACACACATACATACACATATACATATACATCCACGTATACATATACATATATATATATGTGTATATAAATGTACACCTACATATACACATACATATACATATACATATACATATACAATTACGCAATCATAAACATAAACATATACATATACATAAACATATGCATATACATATACATATACATGTACATATACATAGACATACCCATATACATATATACATATATACATACATATAAATATACATATACATATACAACTATATGCAAATGCGTGTGTGTATATATATGTATGTATGTATGTGTGTATATATATATATATATATATATATATCACCGCCGCGCCGCCCTCATCAGATAAGGAACCCTCCAGGGTCTGACGCCTCCTGGGCACGTTCTGTAGCGAACGCCCCCAGTGTATGTACTCCTGGGGGGTCCAGAAATGTCCTCCGGATTCTCTTTATTTTCGGCGATGACGGGCGTCATGGGGGGAGGGCAGGGGGGGGGGGGGGACGTAACGCCCCCCCCCCGCCGCGTGGCTCCGGCACCACAGCCGCGCCCGCGCGCACGACGACGATGAGCGACGACGAACGAGCGACGAGCTGTACACCACAGTGCTCGCATGCATTTCGGCGTCGGTGTACTCCACATCGAATGTGTACACCGCAGCAACCATGTACAACACAGCGCCTGTGTACACGACAACGCTTGCGTGCAACGCAGCACCGGTGTACACCACAGCGCCTGCGTGCACAGGATAGGTAGAAGGAGCATGTAAGTGAGGATCTGCTGCGGACAGCTAAAAACCACGCCAAGGAAGCGCTGATAATAGAACGCGACGTGTTTCCATCCTCGCTCCTTCTCCACCTCCACATCCTCCTCCTCCTCGTCATCCTCGTCCTCCACCGCCTCCTCCACCTTCTCCTCCTCCTCCTCTTCCCCCTCCTTCCTCACCCTTCCCCCCTGTGGTGCAGGCCGGCGCTACGGCGCACGTGCGCATCTCAACGTGCACCGCGAAATGGTCAATTGAAACAATCCACTTGGTTCTCGGCCGGCCAATTTAGCTGGAGCTTCCTGGACACAGATGGGAGGAGTTAGGATGGTGCGGGCGGATTCGGGAGGACTCGTAGATTCCAGCGGCGCGCTTTTCTCTATAAGATTTCATTTCCCAATCCTATATAAAACATTTGTTTCCTCTGGAATCCACAGGCGTTCCATTTTGTCACAAGGATACTTTCTAACATTCTATATACAACAGTGGTGCTCTGTTGCATACGGTTGCTGTGGTGCACACAGGCGCCGTGGTAGTGCACGGAGGCATTGTGGTGTACACTGGTGCTGTGTTGCACACGGCTGATGTGGTGTACGCAGGCGCTGTGGTGTACACAAGCGCTGTGGTGCCTGGAAGCACTGTGGCACCCACTGGCGTTGTGTTGCACGCTTTGGTGTACGTGGGCGGTGTGGTGTACACAGGCGCTGTGGTGCACGCAGGCACTGTGGTGTACACAGGCGTTGTGGTGCAGATCGCAATCTACATGCTGCTGCTACCCGTCCTCGGTCATTCGTAGGCATTCCCAGACGCAGCAGACGCGAAACGTGACGTCATCGCCCCCCCCACCCCCCAGATGATTGCCGTCATCGGCCCGGAATACAAAAACAGGCTCCAGCTGCGTCCGCACGCACGACGACGATGAGCGACGACCGACGAGCGACGAGCGACGAGAGACGACGACGACGACGACGACGACGACGACGACGACGACGACGACGACGACGACGACGACGACGACGGTGGACCAGACTCCTACGCGGACACCGATGCGGATCCCGATACGCATGGCAGCAGTGCCCGGAACGCACTGGTGGGGGAGCGCTACGTCATGGGAGGGGGGGGCGGCGACGGGGGCCATGACGCCCGTCATGCCCCAAGCAAGAAAGAAACACGCTCTAGATTCCAAAGACATTCTTGAAGGATCCGGGGAGGATGCCTGAAGGATAGATGCTTTGGGTTTCTCCTGGCTTCTCTAGGTTCCTGATGGTTTCTGAAGCTCTTGGTGCTTCCAGATGGATCGCTAAAGGGGAGCATTGTGGGACGAATCCGGCGAAATCCACGAGGATCCCTGGAGGGTCCTGCCAAGCTCAAGAAATATGAGTGCGGATTCCTAAGGGACCCCGAGGATTCTAATTGCGAAGGCGTTCGTGGGGATCCCAAGGGTGGTCGACTTAGATTCAAACCGGCTTAGGTCAGCTAGGGTGCCAGCTCCAGACGAATTCCTGAAGGTCCCTGCCTGATTCGCTCAGGATTCCCGAAGATTCCTGAGGCTCCTCGGGTTTCGCGTGGATCCCAGAAGCACCCTCAAGATCCCATCAGTTTCTCAAGGCTTCTCGCGGGAAGTTTGATGAAGTCGGCTTCTTCCACTCTTCCCACGAAGCCTCTATCTTGCTGCCTGGACGAACCATCGCGGTTCGCCTTGCGCCAACACTCATGTCATTGTATTGTTGAGTTTCCTCTGCGGCCATGGAGGACCCCCAGTCCCGGGAATATTGCTCTCCCCGCACCAAATGCGATAAATAAAACCACGATTTCGAAATCCCTCGGGGCTGAGGGGTCGGGGGGGGGGGGGGGGGGGGGGCGGCGGGATTGAGGCGGCGGGGGCGGATGCTTTCTCGACGCATGAGAACATCTGAAGATCCAGCCTGTCTTGTTGAGCGCAATACTGAAGCGCTCGCAGGGTTAGCTGATTGCGCGAACGCCAACTGGCAACTAATCTTGGAGCACCGAGCCCCACTAGCGGCCAGCACGCGGGCGCGCGGCACGTAGTGTATTGCGACGCGATATGAGATGGCGCCATGTGACGCCACGTTGTGCTTATGCCAAGTGTCGCGGAGCACTCTCCATATTGTTCGCGCGCACGCGCCATGCAAAAATCAATTGGGCATGGCCATCTGAATAACGAAAACTGGAATGATGGAAATCACTCGCTTCGATCCTATGAAGGTCTCAACATGACATGACGCATTGCGCATTGCGCAACGATGCGCGCCCCATCTAGCTCGCGCGCACGCGCGCGCGTCACCCGCAAGCAGCGCAAACAAAAATATGAAAACTCAGATTCGAAATGCGAATAGTGGAACGAAATTGCTTCGCGCGTGCCCCGAGGGCCTCAACGAGATAGTGCATCTTGGCACCATGCGCTATCCCTATTGTTCGCGCGCGCGCGATCTCGCGCGCGCAGTGCAAAAACCAACACAGAAGGGAATAATAGCTCGAAAACTGGGAGCTGCAAAAGCTTACGTCACATTATTCTGAAGCCCCCAACGTCGAACAACGCATTGAAACACCCTGCACGCCACTTGTTGCGAGCGCCAGCGCGATCTCGCGCGCACGCGCTACGAAAGCCAATTCGGAATGGCCATCTCAATTTCGAAAACTGAATGATAAAAGCTATAGTTCCATTCGCGTTCTGAAGCAACCACGCGGAAGAACGCACTGTGATACAATAGTGTCCCTGATTGCTCGCGCGCACACGGACGCGCGCGCGTGCTCGCGCTCGAGAAACGAAAATAAAATATTGCCGCCACGTTGGGACCTCAAAACACGAGTAAGCCGATTTGCAATTTTTATCTGTTTAACTATGGCCATTCCTTAACGGGCGTCTTCTATTGCGCGCACGCGCGCTAGCAATAAGGAAGGCGCACGGCGTCTTAATGCATTTGTTCACCTTGAAGCCGCCAGATCACAAAGGACCAATTACGCGCGCGCACGCACACGCGCGCGCTAGCAGCATGAATGGCGCATGGCGTCACGCTGTATTATCTCACGTTGGTGCCCTCAGGATGCGAGCGAAACGCGTGGCACGCACAACTCCTGCCTCGAACATGAGATGGCAATTCTCTATTGGTTTTGGCGCTGCGCGCCCGAGATCGCGCGCGCGAGCGCGCGCGCACAAGCAGTAAAGAAAATGCACGGCGTCACAACGCAGCACTGCCGGTTGAAGCCCTCCGATTCCTGATAAAGACCTGCCCTCCACCCGTGGAATTGCTGCACACTGCGAAGACGAACGTGCGCGACGCTAGGGCGAGAACCGACTTCTGAAGAAGGACCCGCCATCCATCCAGGACGCCCTTGCGAACTATTTAAGACGAATGCGCGCAACACCAGCGCGAGAATCACATTCTGAAATGCACCCGCCCTACATCCACAAAACTTATTCGAGCGTTTAAGACGAATGTGCGCGACGCTGAAGCGATAACCACATCCTGATCAGGACCCGCCCTTCATCCGCGGAGCTCTTGCAAACTCTTAAAACGAATGCGCGCGACGCTAAGGCGAATACCACAGTCTGAGGAGGGCCCGCCCTCCATCCGCGAAGCCTATGCAAACTTTGAGGACGAACGTGCGGGACGCTAAAGCGAGAAGCACAGCCTGAAAAAGACCTGCCCTCCATCCGCGAAGCCCTCGCAAACTTTAGAAACGAACGCGCGCAAATCTAAAGCGATAGGCACATTCTGAACAAAAAATGATAAAACAAAAAAAGCACTGGATCAGAGAAACTGCTGCCAAGCTAATGAACAAATGCGCGCGGCGATGAAGCGAAAACCACATATTGAAATTCAAAGGCCGGGGAATTCACCTGGCCGCAAGGGGGAAGGGGTCGACTATTGCTTCTTCAAGGTAAGTGGAGCCCC